CGAATGGGAGGAACCACGAGAATGAAGCAATAAAACAAAACAACAAAGGAAAAGGAGAACAAAGAGTATACTTCCATCTGCATTCACACTCTATAATTCTTTCTCTGGATGTGGATAGTAATTTCCATCTTGAGTCTTTTGGAGTTGTCTTAGATTCTTGCATTGCTGTGAAGAGTCAAATCTATCAAAGTCAGTCATTCCACAATGTGGCTGTTACTGTGTACAATGTTCTCCTGGTTCTGCTCATTTCACTCTGCATCAGTTCATGTAAGTCCTTCCAGGTTTTTTCGAAGTCTTCCTGGTCATCCTTTCTTTTTATGTTTCTTTTGAATCTTGTATTTGAAGGTCAAATTTTCTGTTGAGCTCTGGTCTTTTCACAGGAAGGTTTGGAAGTCCCCTATTTTGTTAAATATCCATCTCCTCCTCTGAAAGATTATGCTCATTTTCGCTGAGCAGTTGATTTTTGGTTGTAATCCAAGCTCCTTTGCCTTACAGAATATTGTATTTCATGCCCTTCGATCTTTTAATGTAGAAGCTGCAAGGTTCTGCGTAATCCTGATTGTGGTTCTATGATATTTAAATTGTTTCCTTCTGGCTGCTTGCGATATTTTCTCTTTGATCTGGTAATTTTGGAACTTGGCTACAAGATTCCCTGGCGTTTTCAATTTGGGATCTCTTTCAGGAGGTGATCAGTGGATTCTTTCGATGACTAATTTACTCTCTGGTTCTAGGACCTCAGGACAATTTTCTTTGATGATTTCTTGAAGGAGGTTTAGGCTCTTTTTTTCATCATGGTTTTTAGGTAGACCTATAAATTATTATTATTATTATTATTTTTTGCTGAGACAATCAGGGTTACGTGACTTGCCCAGGGTCACACAGCTAGTAAGTGCCAAGTGTCTAAGGTCAAATTTGAACTCAGGTCCTCCTGACTCGAAGGCCAGAGCCCTATCCACTATGCAATCTGGCTGCCCCAACACCAATAATTTTTAAATTGTCTCTCCTGGGTCTATTTTCCAGGCCAGTTGTTTTACCAATGAGGTATTTTACCTTTTCTTCTATTTTTTCATTCTTTTGTTTCTGTTTGACTGATTCTTGCTCTCTCATAGAGTCATTAGCTTCCACTTGTTCCATTCTAATTTTTAATGAATTGTTTTCTTCTGTCAGATTTTGTACCTCCTTTTCCATGTGGCCCATTTTACTTTTTAAGGAGTTCTCCTCGGTGAGTTATTGTGCCTCCTTTTCCATTTGGCCAAGTCTACTTTTTAAGGCCTTTTTTTCCCTACAATTTTCTATTGTTAATTTTTGTCCTTCCGTTTCCAAGCTGTTGATTCTTTCTTGCATACGTCTCATTTCTTTTCCCAATTTTTCTTTTACCCCTCTTATTTGACTTTTAAAATCCTTCTTGAGTTATTCCAAGAAGGCTTTTTGGGCTTGAGACCAGTTCATATTCCCCTTTGATATTTCATATGTGGGCCTATTGATAACCTTGTCCTCTTCTGAATTTGTCTTGATCTTCCCTTTCCCCAAAATAAGAATCTATGGTCATTTTCCGTTTCTGCTTTTTGTTCGTGGTGCTTAACTATTTCCTGACTTTTTAGAAAAGAAATGTTGAGTTCTCCTGCTGGAGCAAAGGGGACACTTACCCAAGCTTCTTTTCCTGCTTGCCCAGGCCTTGCACAGGGATGTTTTGCTGCTGGTGAATGTCTGTCAACCTGGAGCTTTGCCTTCTGGAGTTGTGCTTCTCAGAGTTGTGTTGAGGCACCAAGCGATTTTGCTGCTGGAGAACGCCATCACCTGGGGTAGTCTTCAGAGCTGGGGTCTACCGGTTCCCCTACCTGTACTGAGGCTCTCAAGGGGTTCTGGTGTTGTCACTTGCATGCTCCACCAACCTGGGTCTCAATATCTCCCCCGATATGCTGAGGTGGGGCTTGTTACTGGCTTGCTGGGGTGCCTCCAGTCCTGTATTGCTCCCCTTCCCCCAGAGCGAGAGGGGCCTTTCCCCTTAATCTCCCAAGCTTCCTGGGCTACAAGACTGCTGTGCCCTGTCTTTTTGCTGGCTCACAGTTTTTCCTGGGTCAATATTTTCTGAGCTTTCAGAGGTCAATGAGAGAGGGTGAGAGTGACTTACTTCTTACTCTACCATCTTGGCTCCCTAAAGCAGAAATTCTTAACCTGCATATCCAGCACAGAGCACAGTGCCTGACACATAGTAAGTAATAAATATTTCTTGGCTGACTGACTGTTTTCTCGCTTCTCAGATCTTCTTCAATTATCTGTCTTCTTTGTGTCCTTCTCCTTTGCCTAATCATTCCTTTATGTTGTCTGTGTACATGTTACCTCTCTACTTGTCTGAATCTACGTGTAGACTGTATATTGGCCTATGGTTTGCAGATCCTTTCCTACTTTTCTCATTTAACCTCCTATAAACACTATTCTCCTAAATCTTCTACAGTCTGGCTTCATAACTCATGGCTTAATTGAAGCTGCTTTCTCTAAAATTATAAATGATCTCTTACTTACAAAGTCTAATGACCTTAGTCTTCATCCTTCTTGACCTCCCTGCAGCATTTGACATCGTTTTTTTTTGGGGGGGGGGGGGGTGTCTTTCTTTCTTTTTTTTTTTTGCTTTTTGGTGAGACAATTGGGATTAAGTGACTTGCCCAGGGTCACACAGCTGGTAAGAGTCAACTGTCTGAGACTGGATTTGAACTCAGGTCCTCCTGACTCCAAGGCCAGAGTTCTATCCACTGCGCCACCTAGCTGCCCCTAGCATTTGACATTGTTGAACAATATATCCTCCTGAATTCTTTCCTCTCTAGGTCTACATGACACTGTTTGTTCTTAGTTCTTCTCCTTCTTGTCTGACCACTTCTCAGTCTCTTTTTCATGCCCCCCAATTATGAATGTATACCCAAGACTCTGTCCTGGCTCCTTTTCTCTGCTCTCTCACTTGGTGACCTTATCAGCTCCTATAGATTTAATTATCTTTATGCTAACAACTATATCTATATATCCAGAAAAAGTCTCTCCTCTCAGCACCAAACCCACATAACATTATCCTTTAGGCATCTCAAACTCAACATGACCAAAACCACTCATTTTTTCCCCTAAGCCAACTCCTCAAACAAACTTCCCTATTTCTTCATCATTATCCTTCTAGTTAACTAGGTTTGATACCTCAGTCCCATCCATGACATTCTCATTCACCCCACATATACAATGAGTTGATATGTCTTGTTTAAACCTCCATAATAGCTCTTCCATCTGTCCCCTTTTCTCTACTTACACAATCACCTCCCTATTCAGGACCTCATCATCTCTCACCTGGACTACTACAAAAACATAATTGGTTTCACTACCTTAAATCTCTCTCCATTCTTAATCCATCCTCTAAAGGATGCCTCCAACTTGCCAAAGCATTTTCCTAAAATGAAGGTCTGACAACGTTACCCCCCTACTCATTCTAGGGGCTTCCTATCAACTCAAGAATCAAATATAACCTCCTCTGTTAAGCATTTAAAGCTCTTTGCATCAGATCCCATCCTATCTTTCTAGACTTATTACCCACTACTTCCCCTTCGCATATACTACTCATTATTCCTGATTCTGTCTAGGCAAACTGGTCTCACTGATCCACATATGACACTCCACCTACTCTCTCCTCTCCCTTCTCTAAACCTTTGCAATGACTGTTCCTCCATACCTGAAATGCATTCCCTCTGTGCCTCTCCCTCTTAGAATTTCTACTTTCTTAAGCCTTAGCTGCTAGCGCCTCCCCCCAAATTTATCTCATATCTACTTTGTATATACCTACATAAGCCTATGCTGTTTACCTGACTACAGTGTAAGCTTTTAAAAGTCAGGAACTACTGCATTTCTGCCTTTGTATCCCTAGTACATAATATACACTTAAGCATTTGATACTAGAAAGAAAAATGGACTTAAGGATTCCAGTCCTACTTCCACCATTCACAAGCAATACCAATCAAGCTTCAGTTACCTTATCTGTAAACTGTGAATAATACCAATAACTTTACAGTGTTGGTACAGGATCAAATGAAACAATGTATATGAAAGTACTTTACAAACTGTGAAAGCCAATGCAAATATAATAATTAAGTAAAAATGGGAGCAAATATCAACATTAGATTATCATAACAGCAGCTAAGGCTGCTCTACTAACATTCAATGTTAGAAGAATAAATTTGCATGATCTGTCACTAAATAGCCAACTTTAGTAAAAAGCAGTTCAAGTTTATATGGTATTTTAAGATTTCCTAAGTGCTTTCTTCACAAAAATCCTGAGTTAAGTATTATTGATCCATTTACAAATAAAGAAACTGAATCTGAGAAGATTAATGACTTGTCTGAAATGACATACCTGGTAAGTGGCAGAGCCCAAGTATCCTGACCTCAAATCCAGTGCTGTTCTCATCATAACATGTTTACTTCTTAAACACCAGAAATCATTAACACATAAAAAACAGCTAAACATCAGAAAGGAAACCTTGCTTGCTCTTCAGAAAATGATCCCGCCTTTCCAACTAAGTCTAATATTTTGTCCACATAATGTTCTTATTACCTGGAATTTAGTCATTAGTACAGATACAGGGAAGCAGAGATTAAAGCCTTAAAGGAGATCAGACTTTGTATTTTTAAAGAAAACGACAGCAACCTGAAAAACAAACATTATATGGCAATTTAAAAAGAAAGGTGGTAAATTTCTCTGACTGCACACTTCCAACACAAGTAAAAATTAGCTCCCTTAAAAATGAAGCCTGGTGAAATGAATAGCAAATATAGGCTATTTTCAGATTGTGAAAATAAAACAATGCAAAAATACACTCTTCTATATTGTCTATAACACTGCCATATGAAAAAGTCAGCAAACTGTACAACAAAATATTAAAGGAAATAATATGAAGTGCAAGTATGACATATACAGTTAAAAGAAAACAGGTACTTCAATGAGGATGTGGGGAGAGGAACACACATACCTGATACTCTTCTACAGTATCTATTAATAACTGGTGCTGCAAAAGAAAGAAAAAACAATTTTAGCATTAAATATTTAAATTTTGATGTAAGGTCATAAAATTACATTTTAGATTAAGAAATTTCTTTTCTCATTTTACATGGATGACAACAGAAGTGTCTGAATACCATACATGGAATTTAAGTATTCAAGTGGAACTTCTCAACTAATGATTTTAATTGTATTTTTATTAATATCTTTGGTCTTTATATCACTTTTATTTCCCTATATTGTTCTTCTTCCTTTTTAATACATGCATCCCTTGAAACAAAGGTTTTTTTTTTTAAATATAAAAGTTCAGGAAGATCAAACAAAACATTAATCACATCTGACAATAGATGCAATGTCACACATCTAGACCCCCTTCCCTAGCTCATTTCTGTGAACTGCCCATTAGGCTTGGGTTTTGTTTTGTTTTTTCCTTCATTCTTTCTATTTCCACTGTTGTAGTTATTGTGTATGTTGTCTTGTTTTCCTAGTTGTGCTTGTTTCATTGTATCCATTCACATAATTCTTCAGAATTCTTCATATTCATGATTTCTGATGGTACAGTAATATTCCATTACATTTGTACCCTATAATTTGTTTACTTATTCCCCAATCAATATGGTCAACTTTCTAGTTCTCTGCTACCACAAAAAGTATCTGAATATTATAGTGTATATAAGCGCTTCTTTCTTTATCTTTCATCTCTTTGGGGTAAATGATTAGCAGTGAGATTTCTGGTAGAAAAGGTATGGACATTTTAGTAATTTGGGGGGCATAATTCCAAACTGCTTTCCAGAACGGTTTGTCCAATTCATAAATCCATAACAATGTATTAATGTGTCAGACGTCCTGCAGATTTTTTAAACAGAATTATTTTTGTCTTTGCCAATTTGAGGGGTATGAGCCACAGAATTGTTTTGAGCTGTGTTTCTCTCATTATTAGTATTATGGAGCAACCTTTAACATGGCTGTTAATGGTTTCTAATTATTCTTTTAAGAATTATTTGTTCAGGGGGGCAAATAGGTGGCACAGTGGATAGAGCTCCGGACCTGGAGTAAGGAGGACCTGAGTTCAAATCTGGTCTCAGACACTAACACTCACTAGCTGTGTGACTCTGGGCAAGTCACTTAACCCCAACTGCCTCACCCAAAAAAAAAAAAATTATTTGTTTATATCCTTTAACCATTTATTCACTGCATATATATGTGTGAATTCCCTTTATATTTTGGATATGAGATCCTTACCAGAGATATCTGAAGCAGAATTCCCCACCCAAAACTACAATTTTTTTGTGCTACTTTCACAGATTTTTCAAATTATAATTATTAAAAGCTTAATTTGTAAACACTCTTTACATAAGCATAACTGAGTTATATGCATCCTACAGTCCACATTCTTGTTAATTCTTTACCACTACATACAACCCCTTTCTTTATCTTTTAGTAATTATAAACCCAACAAAAAATGAACATGAATAAATATTCAAACTATTTACTATAAAAATGCAAACTCAAATGAAAATTAATCTATTGAGTATTCTCTGTCTCTTACTGCTGTTTACTCATATCTGTATATACATATATAAGCACAGTTATTTTTACCTAACTGTATCCAGCATGTATATTGCTCTTCCAGTTCTGCTCCATTAACTTGACATTACTTTGTACGTCCTCCTATATTTCTTTATATCCCCCATTTTTGAATGGTCCTACAATATTTTATTGCTCTACCACAATTTATTCAGTTACTACCCAACTGTTAGACACATAGATTATTTCTAGTTTTTTTACTATTAAAAATAAAACTGTTACATACACATACACACACACACAGAGTTTTCTCTTTAATTGTATGCTTGTAGTATATTCCTAACAAGATTACTAGGCAAAAGAATACGAATAGTTTTAAACTGTTGTTACATACTGCCAGATTACTATTTAAAAACATTACACCAACTTGCAAATGCTACCAGCATCTAAAAGTATTATCGGCATTACACTGGCATTTTGTTTTTTTCTAATGTGATCTCTAAAAAGTAAAGCTTTAAGTTTTAATTTTTTATATCTTTGATTATTAAAGAGTGAGCATTTTTGATTATTTACAATGATCCCTCTCTCATAAATTGCCTTAATTTCCCCTTTTACCACACATCCATTGACATTTGAAAGTCAGGGCAAGGGAAAAGAGGATATTGCCCTTTATTGGATCAATCAAGGGCCCCTTGCCCTAGTACACTTAAGGAGAATAGTTTCTCCCTAAACTTTACACCTCAAAGAAAGCAGTAGGGTTTTGGTAAGGGGAAAGGAGTATAAGCACCATTTTGGAATGGACAGTTAACAGAAAGACAAATAAGGGTTTTTTAAACAAGTGGGACCAAAAACTTTGGACTAAAATAATTCCTAATTTAATCTTGAAATAGGGTTAAGAGGGAAGACAGTATAGCTCATGATACTTTCACAAATCTTCTTTAAAAGGAGGGGAGACAGGGGAAGGCTTCTTGCTCCGATCTAAAACAGATTTCTGAGTCTGCATCAGAAAAAAGCATCCACATTTTAAAATAAAAAAATTTCTCATCTTGGTAATTATTTATGTATTATGTTTTACGTATTATGGTACTTGCAATACCTTTTCCCATCCTCCACAGGGAGCCACATTACTTCCATCTATTCCAACATGAGCAAAAATTCCCTCCACAACATCCAGTTATATTTGTTAACAAATCAGTGTAATTACAAAATGGTCATACTTAACTGATTATGATTCATTGGAGAACTATGCCCTATAGAAGGACTGTCTGTTCTAGCCAGGCCAGTCTTCTCACCATTTCCCAAACATACCGTTCACATTCTCTACAATAACAAAGAGGAGGAAATAGTAGTGGCTTTTGTTCACATCATTTCTCTGCTCCTTTCCATCTATTCATTCTTCAAAGACTTGCCCAAATGTTATCCCCTCTGTGAATCCTTTCTTGATCACTCCAGCTCATAATAATCTCTCTTCCTCTGAGCCAAAATCCCTTAAGATCTGTGACACTCATCTGGCACTTAAATACCCCCATGTGACACATCTTTTATTATTTAAATTTTTATCTCAGAGTCTTCTTTCCCAAATCTGTCCTTCAGATTTCTTCTAGTCATATGACCAGCCAGTTAGGTGGCTCAATAAATGCTTGCTGCATGTAATAGTTGAAAAAAATTTTTTTTTCTGATTTCCTAAAAGTCTGAAGTAGATATAAAGCTTGATGCATTCTCGGGTGAGCATTTAAGTGAAATGTTCAATCAATGTAACAAATCTAAGATAAAGCCTTAAGAAATAATTCCTTATAATGTTCACTATCTTTATATCAAGAATAGGTGCTCTTTGAAAAACAAAAACTTAAAATTCTAAGGAAACAGCCTTAGAAACATGCTCTGAAAATCGAACAGGATCTAATTAGAAGCAAAAACACCTTACATTATTGCTAAATGTGCTAAGTTCTGAAACTGCAGTTCTTAAATCATAATACAACTGATTTTCCTTAACCAAGAAACTACATATGTACTTGTTGTATGGTTTTGTCCTTCATTCTTGAAGAGGACCATGACATCAGAGAGATGATGATATGACTTGCAAATGACTTTGATTTGAGTGAGGGAGGGCTGTGCAAAGTCACCAGCCTCACTTTCTCCTCCAGAGCCATCTGGGTCCAGCAGCTAGATGTCTATCAGGAAGACTGGAGATCACCAGCCCTTTTAAGTTAAGGTGTTTTCAGTTCTCACTCTGAGTGAGGCAACACCCATTCAGTGAATAGGCTTCTTTAAGAAGTGAGTCAAGGAATGGTCCTTTTAATAATACTAATAATAAAAAAAATCAAACTGGGAGAAGAAGACCCTCAGGGTTGCTGGCCAAAAGAGAAAACAGTTACTATTTACAGGAGGGCCAAAAAATAACCATTAAGTGGTGCCTGGTCAGGGGCCTATTGTCCAATCCAAGAGATCCAGAGTGAATTGGGTTTAAGGTTTGGTCTTTGAGAAAGCAGTAGCACAAAACAGAATTAAAAGGTTGGCTTTTCCTAATTATCTAGATTTAAAGATAGGTGTTGGCAAAATGTAACATCATATGAAAAAGCAAGAAGGGTGGAAAAAATTCCAGGGAAAACATCATAGTATAACTGATGTCAAGAGTGTTCCTCATACTGAACATTCTATCTTCTATTTCCATGCCTTTAAAGGTACTGTCTCCCATGCCTAAAATGTATTCCTACTGCACACTTCTACCTCCCTTTCAAAGCCCAGCTTATCTGATATAAGGTCCTTCCTGATCCCCGATGTTAGTGACCTTTCCATAAAAATTTATTTTGTATATAATTCATATTTACTTATATGTGTACATGTGGCTTCCCATAATAGAAAGTAAACTTCTTGAGGACAAGGACTATGTTTTTATCTTTGTACTGCCAGCAGCTGGAACAATGCTTAGTATATAACAGGTGCTTAGTTAAATGCAATGATTGATTGTTACACAAAAAACACAAGGTGTGCCGAAAGTCTGAAACGAAAACTTTGGGCACACTTCTTATTAAATATAATAATAATGTAATAGATAGAAGAAACACCCATGCTGTCAGTATTGCACACTGGAAACCTCATTTTAGGAGCATGCATTACTGGACACTAACACAAAATTGCTGATATGGAATGTCCCCTCACAAACCTTAATAGTAAAAGTTACTATAAGAAAATAGAAATGAAAAATTCTGAGTGTCCTAAATTAAATTATAATTGTTTACTTCCACCTGCCTCCCAATGTACTTCCTACCAATAAATTTTCTACACCCTTATTAGCTCATTTAGCCTACATGTTCATGTCATCTATCTGAACCAGGGGTCTCAAATTCAAGTTGTATTTCTGTTTTAAGTATATAGCACTAATACATTTGCATTATTACTATCTAAATATTTCTTTTTTTCTTTGTAATGATCTGCAAATCTAATAACATATTCCTTTAAACAAAGGGCCGGCCACAAATA